CTGCTGTGCACCAGCAAGCGGATGAAGTTTTCCAAGTCACCAAAGTTTCACTAACACCACTTTCTTGAGCCTGGAGCATACTTCAGGACCTTTCAGCAAATCCAAGGCAAGGTTTGGGAAGGAGGATGCTCAGCAGGAGGTGGGCTCATCCAGCAGGTCTGCCTGGAGAGAATCACCCCAAAAGACCCGGGGAGCTGCTCATTGAAACCAGCATCGGGTTTGATTTTGATACCCCCAAAAGAGAAAGGGACATTGGTTTTACCAAAGAACTGCAGCTTCCAGCTCACAGGAAATGTCCGCTTCTGCCCAGTTCAGGCCACAATCAAGTTTCTGAAAACCCTGACGTATTTACAAATCAGAACCCTTGTTTTTGGCCGGTTGCCTTGGCGACACACAGCGATCTCTTGGGAAGAAACCAAGGAATGCATCCTAATACTAGCTCCTTCCTTTTCAGGCATCAACACTCAGCCTTATTACCCAGAGTAAAAGCCACAAACATCCTCTAGGTTAAGAGTAAACAGAAATCTTTCCATTTGCTACAGCATCAGCATCTTCTAAACCCTGGCTACAAAGTCAAACTCCATGCTTGCCACCCCTAGCAGGAAGGGAACGGAAAGAAAACCTGGTGTTACTCTCGCTACATCGCCACATTTAATTTTACCCAGAAACTTGTGTCTCTACTACTTCTCCTTAAACTGGATCTTATTTTCCAAAGGGTCCCCATTTGTTTCAGCCTCCTGAGCTCTGCAATGTAACAGGCAGTTCCTCCTTTGCCTTTTAATATCTCTCTTCTCAGAAGCTAGATTTTTATGCAAGTTCTCATGCAGGACATCCCCCACGTACAATTCTTAGCAAACGCCGTTACAGTTGTATATGCATCTTGCAGTATTTAGCACACTTCATCTTCAGAGTGCCTGCAGAGCGGGATAGTTAATGCTATTAAGCTGATAAGCACGTAGGCAGAGAAGCTACATGACCTGCCCGATGCCACACAAGTCCAACACTGAACAGACAAAACAGCTATTAACCAACTTCAAAGAATCATATGATATTTTAGGCTGGGAAAGGACCTCTGGAGGTCTCTAGCCGAAACTCCTGCTCCAAGCAGGTCTGACCTGATCAGTTGCTCAAGGCTCTCCCCAGGCAAGCTTCAAATAGCTCCAAGGATGGAGATGCCACTGCTTCTCCGGGTTCCTGTTCCAGTGTTTGACCAACCTTAAACAATTCAGTCGCTGCACTAGCCTTGTCCCTGTCTCCCTCCCTCCTTTTTGTACAGCTTCCACTGCGCACCGTTTAATTGGTTTTGCTTACTTGAGGCTTTATTCTTTTACCAGCGAGGCTACTGCCCCGACGTTACCACCCTGCACAGAGAAATCAGCTCCTCTGGCTGCATCAGAAGCCGGGCTTATCTAAGAGTGTCTGTCCCACAATGTTTCCTCTGTATTTTCTGCTCCATCCTAAGAGAACTCGTAACTGTAACATGTTGTCTTGATATTTTCAGCACTTAAACCACACACCCGATTTGGTGTAAATCCAATTAAATACCCCAAACTGAACTGAGCAGAGCCAGGAGAACAGCTGGAATGAGGGCACGGCAGCACGTATTTAAGCAGCAGAACAATTCCAGTCTGATCAAGCACTTCCCTGTAGGAGGGCAAGGAAAAACTGCAGGAGCACTGAGCAAGAATCAACACTCCTGCTTATTTCCTTATTCTGGATCTCATGGTGCTCATGCTCCAGATCTGCTACCCGCATTAGTCACAATCAAATTAATACAGACTGCATGCTCTTACGAAGGAATTTAACAAAGTTAAGCCACGAGAAACAGCACTCCCTGCCTCCCTTCTAAATGAGATGCACCCCATGCAAAGGATTTCCTCAAATTATAATGCTCAGTGCCTCAGGCACCCATGTGGATTCAGTCCATCAAATATTTAGTCGAATTTAGGTAACGGAACGTCAAACGACTCTTCCCGCTATGGAAAAACATGTCACGTCGCAGACCTAGAAATTGGGATTTGTCACCTGCTTTCAGAGCCAAACAATTCACGCCTAATCCTCTGGTGCAGCAAAATAACTCACTCTTTCAGCATGACTGTGTCTTTATCACATCCAGATGCATTTCACCAAGCCATACAAAGATTAATTCTCAATTTAAGGCTCACAAGGATCTAAGTTAGATCCCAAGCAGTGAGAAAGACACATGGAGCAATTGACATCTTGCGGATCAGATGTAGCTGCACGTCCAGAAGAATCAGGCAGGTGGTATAATCCTATCAAGGGGAGTTAAGTTGTTGCTGATCTCTTTCTGCCTAATAGAGACCTAATTCTTGAGCCTCTATCAATAGATCACTAATGCGGGGAAGACACCAACACCACGCTGCCCACTGTACTGTGTCACAAGCCGGGCAGTGACCACAGGGAGCTCAACATGTCCAACACCCACCAGACACAGCGAGCGGAGCTAGAAAGGGGGCAAGTCCACAGCCGTTCAAGCCATGCGACTCGCCTCGATTTTCTAAATACCTGAAATATTTTACTTTCCGTTATCATACGTCCAAGAAGCAACTGTGGGAGAGGTCCTGCAGTTATCACAGGTCATATCCCACCCTCGTCTACTTGGTGGAACAGCACCCAATGCCCCCTCCCTGAGGGCAAGCCTCCGGCTCTCAAAAAGACCAGAAAAACACTTCCCATCTTCCCACCCCGTGCCTCATGGAAAGACAAACCAAAAGTAGTACTGAGCTACTCTCAGCCTGGCTGTTCAGTGCAGAGGCGCCCCAGGCAGTTACCTTCTTGCGGCGGGAGCCCGTCTTGCTCATGCAGGACCTCTCCAGGGACAGGTACCCCCCGATCACTTCGATCTCGTTCACCGTGGGGTAGCGCTTTTTATGGGACATCCCCGCTTGGGGCCCGTCAGCGTTCTCCACGGCTTTGCCTTTTCCTTTGCTCTCCTCATCCTCCTCCTCTTCCTCCTGCTGCGGACTTCCACTGGCATTAGTGAGAGTCTGCAGCCCCGAGGCAACGGGCTTCCTTTTGGGCACAACAGTGAAGGTGCTGCCTCCCCTCTGGTGGAGGGCAGAGTGTGGTCTGTAGAGGGGCATGGAGGAAAACTCCATCTCCAGGTCAGGGCCAGCTCCTCCAGGCTGATCCGCCAAGCTCCCTGTTCTCGCAGCCGAGCCAGCCCTGGGAGAAAGCTCCCCGCTGTCCGGCTCCACAATGTCATCAATGTAAGTCACAGGTACCAACGGATCCAGAGGCGCCGGTGGGGAAGCGACAGGCTCTTCCTGCTCCGGGGCGGAAGCCCTTGGGGGCTCCTTCGGTGCCTCCTCCGAGGACGGTGGCGGCGGCACCGGCC